GAGCCCCGTCTGTTGTTTTGACCACCCCCCCTTTACAACAACCGCCCACATTACACCACATTTCCACCACAGGTATAGGAATCTGCGATATCCAGAACGGGTTCCGATGGGTGTTGGAAGGGCTTGTCTGGAATTTCGAGGGGTTTGCATTGGATACCCGTACACTCAAAACTATAGTTACCAGTTACTATACAGTCGTTTGTTCTGGCTTCGCAAATGCATATTCTGCACGGCGGGGAACTGAAATACACACCAAAATCATTGAAATACACACCAAATGCACTGAAATACACACCAAATGCACTGAAATACACACCAAATCCACTGAAATACACACCAAATACACACCAAATCCACCGAAATACACACCAAATACACGCCAAATCCACCGAAATACACATTAAATCCACTGAAATACACACCAAATCCATTGAAATACACACGAAATCCACTGAAATACACACGAAATCCACTGAAATACACACGAAAACCATTGAAATCATTGAAATACACACCAAATCCACTGAACTCCGCACCAAATCCATTGAAATACACGCGCAATCCACTGAAATTAAATACACGCGAAATCCACTGAAATACACAGGAAATCCACTGAAATACACACGAAATCCATTGAAAATACACACCAAACAGTATACATCACAGGCATCCACAGGCACTGTGTTGTTGTTGTTGGGGGGGGGGGTAAAACAACATGACGGGGCTCCTGTTTTTGTCTCTACCTAATGTACAGACAAAAAGCAGATACATGGGTTGACGGGGCTGCAGTTTTTGTTTGTACAGACAAAAAGCAGATACATGGGTTGACGGGGCTGCAGTTTTTGTTTGTACCTTGTCGTTGTTGTTGTTGTTGATGTTGTTGATGTTGTTGATGTTGTTGTTGTTGCTGTTGCTGTTGCTGTTGCTGTTGCTGGTGCCTGGGCTGGGGCTGGTGCTGGGGCTGGGGCTAGTGGTGGTGCTGCTGGTGCTGGTGCTGCTGTTGCTGGTGCTGTTGATGTTGCGATGGTTGCTGATGGTGGCACTGAGCGGCTATGACGGCGAGGACGACGATAATCAAACTGATAATGACACTGCGACTGATCCATTTGCTGACAATGACTATGGCCATGCATGGGGCAAAGCTATCTGGCCTCCTGGCACACCTGGCAGTTGGCGTCTTTTTGCAGCACATGCCTCGAAGCATTATGTGCTATCTTGAAGGCTTCCCTTTGAGGATTTAGGTTGGTGCCTTAGGGTTGGCTTACCTGCAACGGATTTCGGGAAGTGAGCGCAACCTAGCCTTGGAACCGTGGAGAAAGATTTTCATGAGACATCCCTACAGAACCCTAAACCCTTAACCAGGTCACTGCTCACAGCTTCATGGTTGCGGCCCAGAGTTCAAGTGATGCTGCCCCGAAACCCTGTGAGACGGCGTATCCGAAGCCTGAAAAGCACCCTCCAAAGCCCTCTAGAGGGAACCCTACTATAGAACCCCATAGTACCCGTTCTCTCCCCTCACAGGAATCCTCCCTATAGTAGCCCAAAAGGAAACCCTTCAAGGGGCCCTTAGAGGGACCCCGTCAGGGCCTCAGGTTCGGCAAACTGCTTGAACCCCCACTGCCGATGATCACGAAACGGGCCGCCAGGCTCTCCATGGCACTTTCGGGCTCTATGATAGGGTTCCCTTGAAAGGGATAGGGTAGGGGATAGTATATGATGGATTCCTCGAAGGGCTGCTCTAAGGGATTAGAGTGCAATGCACCTTTGGACCCCTTCAGATCCAAGCAGCGGTTCGGGGTTGAGGGTTGAGGTTTTCGGGGTTTCGGGTTTAGGGGTATGGAATGAATTTCGACCGAAGTCGTGCAAAAGCGGCGGGAATACAAGGCCTCATGATTGTTACCAATTGACTATGTTCGGGCTCCTTGTTAAAAATCTATGTAATATACACCCCAGACCTCTTTTATAAACTATTCAAGCCCCTATTTTGGTAAGGATTCAGGATGTAGTGCTTTGGGATTCAGGCTGCCGGGTCAAGCTTTAGGCTCGACGGCTCAACGGGCTAGGATCGAGGGTTGAGGGTTCAGGGTTTTGGGATTTAAGGGCCCAGGGTTCAGGGCTTCGGATTGAGAGTTGCTGCGCGGTTTCGGGCTCAGTGTCGAGGCTTTGCATGCCTAGGCAGCATGTAAAGTGTTGCATCAGCGATTAGAGTAGGGCTTTTGCCTACCCGTAGTCGGGTCTGACAGCGCAGGACGGCGGAAGGTTGCGTTTGCAGAAACCGCTCAAAACCTTTGATCGGCAATCGTGGGATCACCAAAATAGAAGATGTCCCGCAGGTCTGAAAGCGGGAACACGGGTCAAAGAGTGTCGAGGGGCTTCTCTGAAAACATGACGATTCATGGCAATACCATGACAACCAATACAAGGATCATCACCAGCATTATCGTCGTCGCGCCATCATCATTACCATGAGCATAATCATCGCTGTAGTCGCACAACGTCGTGAGATTTGTTGGGAACGGCAAGTGGTCCTATCCATATTGCTACCACTGGAATTCCTCTTCTTGGTCTCCTGTGGTGCCTAGTCTTGTCAAAACTACCGGCGTGAAACTCCTGAAGCTAATATCGGGGCCTTAATAATTACCTATACTGTCTTTTCTTGTTTTTTTTTTTGGGTGGGGTCCTTGACATGATTGTAGTATCATGGCCCCCCAAGACCCTATTCTAACACACTGGTAAATTAGTAGTACTGCAAGGAAGCCGGGGCCAGGCCATTGCTCTCGAAAGCCATGGTTTCGGGGTTAAGGCACAGAGGTCTATAGGGAACTCCAGAAAGTTGGAATATGGTTTCATGGTAGGATACCCTATAATTCACCATAGAAGGGTTAGGATAATCATATTCCAACTTTCTGGCTTTTACCTTAGGGTGTTCAGGGCTGAAGCAAACGAAATGCTTGGGGTCCGGGCTGGGCGTGGGTTTTAGAACTCTCAGCTGGCTGCCTTACACGACTGCTAAGGCTAGACTGTCGCTAATAACATGTGTAGTCGGAAGCCAACTCTTTCCTCTGTGTGATCGCATCGCTGAGGAGACTGCGGTGTATCGTGACGCAAGGCAGCCTGGCGATCCTCGGAGAAGGCGGGTATAGGGTTGTCCTCAGGGGGTTTTCGGGTCACCAAGCTCGCCCCCCCCAAAAAAAAGGCCAAGCACCTCGCCGGGTGTTTCCAGCCTGCTACCTTAGACCTGCGAACAGCCCCGAGGCATGGAAAGCAGTTCTACCTCCATTTCAATTACAATGTAATATAGCATGACATACCATAATCTACGACAGTGTGTTTCGATACACCGTATACTGATATACAAGACACTAGTTGAATCGCTGGAGTTGGACTCTTGTTAATTTCGCCCTGTTGTCACTTGAATGAATATGAAACTGGCAGAACCGTTGTTTCTGCGAAGACACTCATGGATTCTCCTGAGCTTGCTCGACACATCCACCGAGCTCGCGTTGAGGTGTTTACCGTGTGAAACTTATAAAGAGAGCCAGACTCAAAACCATAAACCCTCCACCCTAAACCCCAAACCCTTTGAACCCTAAGAGCAAACATCCGCACAAGGTCCAAAACTTGAAGCCCCCCTCCTAAAGCGAGGGTTGCCCCAGGACGCCACGCAGTAATGGCGAATGCGACGCTCAGCTTCAACAGATCTTCCGAGATCCCGTACATGCAAGAATGGTCTTTACACTTTAAGCACTAGTAGGACCCCAAATAATGTGATTTGAAGTATCAGTCCTCAGTTACGGAAAATACCGTAAACAATCGTAATTAGTAGGATCCTTCGCATGCTTTGAGGCATATATATATATATATATATGTATACGCCTCAATTAAGGGATGTTGGAAGATCTGAGTCTTGAGGACCCCGCAGACGCCGGTCTCCCGCCGCACAGCCTCGAGGCGGAACAAACTCGGAGTACTTCTTAAGGTAGGAACCACGAAATAAAATGAACTATAGTATATAATGAGATGAGACAGGGTATAGTATGGACTAAGGTAGGAACCTGACTAAGAAACCTTGGGCCTTTTTTGGGAAACCTTTAAAGGGGTCTATAAGGGCCAGTATAAGGGATCTTATAATCTAGGAGCCTGATGAAGAAACCTTGGGCCTTTGTGAGGGTTCCTTACATGAACCCTACTGTTTTGGGGGTTATAGGCCGAGGGTTTCTTAATCAGCTGTATAGTAGAGGGCCTTCACCAGGTAAAGTAGAGTTTTCAGCCTTAGTAGGTCCGGGTGCCCTGATTCGGCTGTCCACATCCAATTTAAACAGTTTGGATGTGCAAAGGAGCGGCATTGCGGCCAGCCATGCCGGGCGTGCACAGATCAGTCTGACAAGTTCTGAGGAACTGTACCCGTGCAGCCCAATTCAGAGGTGTGGCTGTACAAGATGCAGCTTACTGCTACTCTTGAGAGGGTTCGAGGTCTGGTGACAAAATGACCTCAGCATGGCATGAGCTCGGCTGGAACGTTGCTGGAACCTAGTAGGAAATAGTTAAGTTTGAGTTGCGCAGTCTTGTGGCTTTGCTGGGTTTCTTGCAAGGACCTCAACTGTAAACCCTGAGCCTGAAACCCGACCAACGTAATGAAAGGACCTGAATCATTAGAAGAGGGTTTTGGGGTATGACATACTAAGATCTGAAAACCTAGAAGTGCTATGACTATTTTCTCGGGCCCTTGCATTACGATTGCCAGCCCATCTCTTGCCAGGATCCACTGAAGAAGCCCTCCGTCTCAAGCGGACTGTACACTGCCCATCGGGCCACAAGCGGTTGCGTTAGATGGGTTTCTTGGAAGTTACAGGTACCCGATGTTAAGGGGTCCTCAAAATCAGCCTCCTCCTGTTTAAAGGGTCTACATTTGTAGGGTCTCGTTTTCGGAAACCCAAGTGGCCCGGCAAAAACCTGCAAAACTGAAAACGCTAGAAGCCGCCGCTTTTGGCTTCTGTCAGCTACTCCAGATCCGTCACAGAGCTAAAGACGCCCGCCACCATGCCTCGGCACTTGGACGGGTTTAAGGTTCCAAAAGGGTTAGGGCTTCAGGTTTGGGCTTTGGGAAATTTCCATTCAGTGCATCCAAGGCACAGCAAAGACTGAGGATCAGGATACACCCTCGGATGCAACTCGACAGCGGTGGAAACAGCTGCCGCTGAACTTTTGCTCACAATGGCTATCACGGCTGCATGTACTGATACTCAAGATCTTGGGATTCTCATTCCACCACTACTCCGATAGGATGTTCACTCACATTCTCTGCTAGGTAAACTCCAAAAGTCTCAGCGAAGGCTAACGTAGATCACACATGGTAGGATCCTTACAAATTATATAGCAGTGACAGCCCCTAAACCCTAAACCCTAGTAGTAATCGTGATAACTGTCAAGCACCCTAAGCCTTTCGTCTGCGAAAAACTCCTGCGGCTTCTGAACTCGGGGCCTTTGAAGAGTTTCTAGCCCATTTTTTGCGGTTTTTGCTGTTATTGCTATGGCAAGACAAAAACAGCCTACCGGGTGGGAAATACAACCCTAAACCCTAAACCCTAACCCCTATAAAACCTAAATCCTAAAGCCCGACCAGGAGCCATGGAGTCCCTGCCGCCACCAGCTTTGAGCCACCCCACAGCGCCGCAGCACAACTCCTGGCCGTTCGTGCAGAGTTTAGGAGTTTAGAGGGTAGGATTTAGCTTTGAGTTTAGGGCTGGAGGGGTTCCAGAATTTCCAGACTATAGGTTAAGAGTTCAAGGTTTATAGCGTGCCGAGTTCACATTGAAGAGGATCGTGGATCCATTTGGGCTTCGGGAGCTCTGCAGCTAGGGTGAGCTTGTGGTAAAAGCACCAGCCACACTGCTGAGAGTGGGACGTGCGATTATGTTGGTTATGGTGGGTGCAGGTCTAAGTTGGGGTAGTAAGGGCAGCGCGTATGCGTTTCTACAACATGTATACAAAAATGTATGTAGGAAAACGGACAATACGAATAGTAGTGACACTACCAATATTCAAATGTGTATATTAGCGATAGTCATACTAGTATTATGAATAGAAATATTAAGATTTGTGTTCTTGTTGTGGGCAAATTGACTATAACATGTTGTAGTGTATATATCATTACATACTGAAACATATTGTGCACTGTTTGTTGTGTAGCATATATAATAATACTGTACAACGAAAAACTGAATATGGTGTATATTGCATACTAAACTTTAAACGCATTATGCTGTATGTTGTGTATGAAAATTTTGATATTGGAATCTTAGTATGTTAAATACTCCACAATACAGATTCCATTCTACATAAACAGCCCGCCGCGTTACACATTAAGTGTTATATATGTATGTAAGCTTACGTTATATCATACTACATTCCATTACACTACAGTATTTTGGACAAGAGTATGTTATGTTACATTTTACCGTGCATTATGCGTTGTATAACCATATTTCTATATACTACATTCTCTTACAATGCGTCATATGTTAGATTAACATATATATATATGTATAGGTATGCACTCATATAAGAAATTGAATGCTGTATTGTCTCATATTTATTATTTCGTTGTATTCATATTGTACTAGTTCTCATTCTTGAATATACTTTTTGTTATGTTGCATTGCATTGCACTATTTCTTTTACAACTCTACTTCCTTAATCTTTATTCTATATATGTATATCTACACCTACATTATGTGCGTATATACATGTGTAACTGATAAGCAGTGTATATACATAATATACGTATATACACATAATGAATATGCATATATGTATGAATATATATGCAAATATGCATCATACCTGGTCTCACCTTAGCAGACCACCTTATGTCACGTCAGATCATGCTATATCATCGCACATGCAGGTACATACTCTGTGTTCTATAGTATGCAAGCATTGAAAAGCATGTATATATTATACTATACCTAATCCACTATATACTATTTGGGTAAAAGCATGTATATTTTATTAGACTGCATATTGTATAGGCTACATACGGTATCATATACGTTATAAACTAAATGGATTAAGTACTATACATTCTTTTTCTTTTTGTATATTGTATATTGATACTCGTTTGTTTTGCTTGTTGGCATGGTTAGTGGTTTTGTTGGTAGCAGTACTAGTATCACTGGTCGTCGTCTTAGCAGTAGTAGGTGGTAGTAGTAGTAGTAGTAGTAGTAGTAATAATAATAGTAGTAGTAGCAGCAGCAGCAGTAGACTTGTGATTTCTTCGTGTACTAGTGCAATACATATATGTATATACATATATATATATATATATATATATAAATATCGGTGTAGATGTATCACATGAGTTGTGGGCTCACCTGCTTCATTGAAAGCAGGCAATTGCAGTCAACGAGGTGAGATCGTATCCGTCGCATCCCCCGAAGAGAGTTGCAATGAACGCATCTTAAGGCGTTGGGTCCGATGCTTTGGCACCTTGATTTAAAATTGCTGTTACAAGTATAAAAGTTGATACAACTTCACGTGTAGTAGTAGCAATATTAATATTGATAGCACTAGTACTTACTAGTAATTAGTACTGGTACTTTTTTTACAAAGGTTGTCTTCGAGCCATGGCCTGAGAAGAGCAGTGGGAATGCCAGGCAGACAGCAGGAGCAGCCAAAGCGCAAAAGAAGCCGAAGACCTGAGTCACATGGGTGGTTGTCACAATTATGGTCCCTTTTTGGGTCCCTATTATAATACGGCACCTATTTATTTAGGGTGCCATAAAGTGACCATAATTTTGACAACTACCCACATCTCCGACATTGACGTGCTCCATGGAGTTTTGCAGAATAGTGTTGGTATGTCGTCCAATGGGAGCGGCAGAAAAAAGCAGCAGCAAGATTGACAAGGAAGACAAGCACGTGTACTTTGCAATGCAACATGGCATGGCAGTTGCTAGTTGGCGTGTTGTCACAACTGTGGCACCTCCATCCCTTCCGAGGATTACTTTACACATAAGGCGAATCTGATGGCGTTCGTGAGAGCATGACGGGCCTGGAGACTTCGTATTCGGTCCCGGGGTTCGGCCGGCTTTGCTCCCTCATTCTTCAGGGTTTAGGTTTAGGGGTTTAGGTTTTAGGGGGCTTTAAGGTTTAGGGTTTAGGGTTCAGGGCTCAGTGTAGGCTTCAGACTGATTGTGCTGCTGCATTCGTCTCGAATGCATCAGATGTCAGTGACGAGCCGTCTAATCCGTCCTGGGAACCGCACACTCCGATCACTGGCTTATTTACACAGAGAATGCAGCCCTCAACTGTTGCCTGTCTCTAGTTCCAGGTCCATGATACTGTAAGAAAAAACTGAGTCCACGCACTGTTGCCAAATTCTGCCCGGAGACTAGGGTGAAGCGCGGCACACACAAGGCGATGATGATGGTAACTGCAGATGCAGTCGGCAGAAAGCTTTTGCTGGTCCATGCATGTCATCAGAGACCAACTGCACAGATTATGTTGCAGATGAGAGGCTCGTGACCAAGGTCACGCGCATGAACCCGTTCGCCCACGACCCGGGCTTGATGTGAGATGCAAAGGCCCTGGAGCTCTGAATTGAGTGGAAGACACCCATCATGATGAGAGGCATACCTGAGCAAAATCGGAATGCTTCAAGCGGGGCCACAAAACTGTGACAGGTTCAGAAACCCGGAACTAACCCTGTGCTGCAGTAGCTGCTTAAGACGATGTTGATGAGCACAAGGCTGGAAACCACGGGCGGCACCCAGAAGCTCGTTTCCCCAGTCCACTGTGATGCCTTCATGCCAGAGAAAGCTTCATCAAAGTTGGCAGGCGAGTAGGTCATTGACTCAACGATGTCTTGGTTAATGAAAGCGCCATAGCCGTAGTAGCCGGCGAGCATCACTGCCAGGTATAAACCACCGCTGGTGAGGGTGGCTGCGTACAGGGCTCGGGGAAACTGCTCCGGCTGCTTCATTTCCTGCAAACTTAAGGCGCCAAAAAAGCTTGTAAGCAAAAGTAAGAATAGGGATATCCCATACAAACCCCCTTATAAGGAAGCCCAACAGGGTAGGGATATCCTTATAAGATGCTTATGCTTATGTCCTTCTTGGGTCCTTTAAAACTTGTTCAACGATGGAGCTCAAACTCCGCAAGTCTTGCCACCACTCGGAACCTTGCAACCCCCTCTCCCACACCGCAAACATCCTCTCAGCCCACAGCAACCACTGCGGAATGCGTTTACAAATGTTGAAGAAATCCTGAAATTGTATCTTTGCGGAACCCGTAAATCGACCCTTTCCCTTTGAGAAACCTTTAAAGGTATCCTTGAAAATATACCTTGTTGATCTGAACCCTTCAGGGGAACTGTAAAGGTACCCTCAAACGTCCTGGAGGACAGCTGGAACGACCGCTTGGTAAGTCATAGCACCGATGCAGGTTGCCAGGACGGCTCCGAGGGACATCAAGGACCCCTTCGTTCTGGGTTTCTGAGGTTTATATACTGCTCAGGGTGTGTAGGCTTCATTATCGGGTTTAAACCTTAAGTACGAAAACCAATCACAACAAATGCTTAAACAATTCTGGTTAGGTTTTCGGGCTTTAGGGTTTTACCTGGCTGTCTTCAGTAGTCTGCTGGTGGTTTTCTGGTGGCTTCCTGATCCTCTGCTGTTCTTTTGGTTGCCGTCGCACCGTGGGCTTCATGGACGTCACGGTCGTCGTGGTGCTCTTTCATTAGATACTTAAGCAGCCAGGCTGGCATTTCGCACTGTGAGCACATTATGGGACGGTATTATATAAAAAAACCTGGTCATGCGGAATCTGAACAGACAGATTCAGCGCCATGGAGGCTTCTCTTCACTCTGTTTCTGACCCATTGCAATGCGACACTACTCTCTTCAGGCGGCCTTCATCATTTTAGCAGGGTTAGAAAGCATTGTCTAATTCAAGCCCCGTACCCATGGTATGCTTTTCGTCGCTCTACTGCTTCTTTTGGTCGTGCCTGCGGCCAAGCCGAGTGCAAATGCTGGTGATCTGGAGGATCCCATTCCCGCCAGTGGCGGGCATCTGATATAGACTTCCAAATTATGACTCCTGCCATCGTGCAGGCAGACAGCATGCCCAAAGGAACAAGCTTCGACAGGCTGGAAAGATCTCTCACGAGCGTGAGGCCCACGAAGAGCCTGGGCTTTTAAGTAACCAGGGAGAACAAAGTATACACTTTTATTTCATAATGGTTCCATTAAGAAAAAGAAGTATTAAAGTATGGTACTCCAAAGCCCAGGAGCGGGTACATGAGTAGGATCCAGATGCGCTTGTCCAAGGCTTGCTCGCTGAGATCCTCAAGCTGCATGCCTGTGAGGACGGCATAAGCTGAGTAGATGCCGAAGAGGAAGAAGTTGGTGACAACAGCTGTGAGCATCTGACCCAAATGGCCCCACGCCTCCCGCCCCAAGTCTTCGTAAGTGGATATGGAAACCTTCCCCCGGCTTGCCATGAATGCTTTCCACATGTGAAGCCCGCTTTCAGTCGAGGAGAAAACAACAAGCAGAAGGATCAAGGAGCTGGGCACCCAACCACCTTCAAGCGGCAGTTGAGGTAAGGCCATAATCCCAGCTCCGATCACGACCGTGACCAAGTTTACGTAGGCTTGGAAAGTGCTAAGCTTTCCGTGTCTCATCGGCTCATCGTTCCCTCGCTGATCGCCCGACTCACAGTTTCCAGCCTCAATCTCGGCAACTTTCCTTAGTTGCTGAGTTCATAAGCCCCCAAAAGTGTACACTTTAAGTTTTATAGGGGGTAATATTATCCAAAAAGTGTAGAGTGTATCCACTCAACTACTAAGTTTCGGAACTGTGGAGTCCAGCTCCTCCATGGCCATCTGGTGCAGAGAGCGGTGTCGGGAGGAATCTGGTGCAAGCAGCTGCTGTGCAATGTGAGCAGCTACGCAGGCGAAGCTTGGGACCAAGGTTTAGGGTTTGGGGTTCAGGGTCTGGGGTTTAGGGCTTAGGGATGTTTAGGGTGTAGGGGCATTGCAGCTCTGGCCAGTTAGCAACTACTTCCAGCAACACTTCCCATGTTTGCTCCAACCAAAGTCGCGAATCTCTGTAGATCGCAAGGCCTCGAGCTATTAGCATCACTACCGTTGTATGGGCCGTTCTCATGTTCCGCCCTCATCTCACAACCAAAGACCTAAAAGCAGTGCGTGCCGCTGTGTTGGCAGTGAGTCATAGCATATTACCCGGTCCCCTTTCAAACAACAACCCTTCTCCGAGCAACTCGAAATTTGGAACATCCGCAGGCAATGCCCAAGGCCCACAGACTCGAGATCCTACACTCGCAACCCTGGACTTTTAATCCTAACCTGAGGACCTGCACGGGTATCCAATAAGAGTTCGTCCACCGCAGGAGTCAAGCTCAGCCATCCTTTTCTGACATGGCATCTTGGGTTTAGGGGTTTAGGGTTTAGGGGTTTAGGGTTTAGGGTTTTAGGGTTTAGGGGTTTAGGGTTTAGGGTTTATAGGGTTTATCTACTGCTCCCCACAGCTTATAAGTGCTCGTCAACCAGTAGGCGCTCTCGGCTCCTCACGTCTGGCACTGTTGCTACGTGTACACGGAGAGCAGCACTGGTGCCTCTGGCACGGATCGCTCGATCGTGAAGGTATCCAGCAAGGAGCCATTCGTCGATTCCACCAAATCGAACTTTAGCTTCGTGCGACTTTCAAAGAATAGCTTGGCATAGCCGAGGGATGCTTGACGGATCACGGACCAGTCGGGGCAGGACTCCCACTTGTCGGTCAGGCCTTCTGAATCTCCAGCATTGCCAATCACTGCGTGCACGGTGGCCTGCGAACGGTACATGTTCGGGGCTTTTCCGGCTTTAGAATCAACTCAGGGCGGAGAGAATTCGAAAATTTGCCTGCGGGTTGGTGTAGCTTTTGGCCACGGTGACATTCTGCATCACCGGCCAAGTGCGCTCGTAGTTGTGCAGATGGCCTCCCAAGAACAAGTCCACCTCGAGGGACACTGAAGTGCTCTTGTAGACTAGGATTCTGTGTAACCCTAAGGGTCCAAAGGACCCACTCGTTAGGTACCTAGGTTTAGGATAGTAGTTGTGCAGGTTACTATTTGGGAGAGTGGAACATGATTACGTACTTGGACCCTTAGGGTGACATTAAGAAGCTTCATGGTCCCCTCTAATTCCCGGTCCAACCTTGTGATGTTGGAAGAGTGGTTCAAGCTCCCTGCGGAGGCGAATGCTGTTGATGTTGCAATCGTAATAATCATTCGTGGAGCAGTAGAGGGGCTTGTGTGCGAACACGACGATCCAGGGTACCTTGTCCCTGTTCGCAGAAGCAGCCTCTAAATCTTGTTTGATGAACGGTAGCTGCATGTCAAGATGGTGCTCGGTGGAAAAGGTCAGAAAATGCACACCACCGTAGTCGAAGGAGTACCAGAGGTTACTGTTGTCATGAGCAGCACCTGGCATCGTAAACCGCACTTTGTAGCCTGTGAAGTTGTTGAAGTGTTCATGGTTTCCTACGCAGACCATGTACGGTCGCTCACTTGCGATAGGCTCGATCTCTGTCATGAAGTGATCCCAGATGGTTTCATCCCCCCCTGTGTATGCGATATCGCCAGCATGCAGGAGCATAGAGTACGTTGTATCGGCAGCTAAAGAGGCAATGGTTGCATTTCCACATCCTTCCTTGTCGCAGTTTTCTCCCAAGTCAGCAACCGCGGCGATGGTGATGGGAAGGTGACCAACAGGAGGTGGCGTCTGGAATCCATGCCAGGTTTCGCCATCGCATGAATAAGACATGGCTGTGCTCTCGGGGAGTTCGTCCATTCGAACGGAATGGATCCTGCCGGACCATCCCTGGTTGCTGTACAACCGGGATTTGCCGACATAAGAGCGGATGCTCTTCGTGCTGTTACGATGGCGAATGCTGCAACTTGAGTTTCTGTATGAGACGCTGCTAACCTGGGTTGTAGTTTGGGGGCTCTGAAAGGTATTTATGAACAGGTACCTCTGTTTGAACCATAGAGAAATTAACACATTTCCCAACTTGCCACCTGGTAGCGAACGTCACCGTGACAACGGTCGGGTTCTCACCCAAGGCCAGATGTAGTTGCTTGGGACCGCCAGCAACAGCCTGGGTTCTCGTTAAGGGGTTTATAGGGATCTATAGTAAATAGGGTTTCCTTATTATGGTGACTTAAACTGGATCCCTTAACCACCACCCAGCAGCCGCGGAGGTGGCTGTACAGCAAAGAACCATGCACAGAGCCGCGCACAGACATCGCGGCGCCATGTTCATCACTTCCAAGATTTTCCAGCTCGAATCATATCTACGGCTCTGTGGGAGGCTGTTGCATGGGGACGGGACTCAGGTACACCTCACGCTATGGCTGCGCCCAAACTACACGTCAAATACATTACAGTCATCCTTGAGATACAAAAGCCAGTGCTTGCCACAACAGTCCGGGTCTGCTCCACTTTGTGACTCGAACACCAAGCTTACAACGTCAACAATATGATGTCTTCTTTGCTTTATATTATACAAATAAAATTATGTAACAATGGACATCTTCAGCATCGGCAACACGGCCTCGACATGAGAGGAAGTGCTGCAGCCGTTGCCTTACCCAGCAAAGCGACGTCAACAGGAGCAGACTCAGTCAGCCTTGAGATTCTGGGCATCGGCGGAAGGCTCGGCTACATGTTGAAGATACCATAACCGGAGCACCTCCTCTGTGCCGCAGCTTTTGTACATCCCCTCGAGGACGTTGGTCTCCATCGGCAAACGGAATTTAAAGCAGCATCTACACATCCAGGCAACAGCAACCTAAACAATGTGGCCACTGTACCCTTATTATATAGGTTGCATGTGCCCTAAGACTACCGGTTATGGACCATCATTTCGTGATTTTGATCACTCCATCTGTCCTCCAACGTGCCCGGCATAAACTTGCAACGCGCTAGACTCTACATAGATCAACCCTGTAATCGCTTGAGACTCTTGTGTTTGATGCTTGCTGTTTGGCCAAAGTTTCGTAGATTGCAATTCATGGCTCAAGCTTCGCATTTGACATGAACTTGGGTGGTCCTGCTTCGAGCCTAAGCTGTTGACATTGTAACCGAGACACCGTTGAGTTTGGCGCCGGGGACAAATCTAGACGATTTCCCTGCTTCCGATGCAGGTAATGACGCTGATGATGTAAAATTAGAACGACATGCACGGATGCATGTGTAGGTGTGTGCATGGTTGCATGCACTTATGCATGCAGAATGCATGTATGCATGCAGAGATGGATGGATGGATGGATGGATGGATGGATGGATGGATGGATCGTCTATCGATGTTGTTTAAGGTGATGATGACCGTGTGATCTCCGCCTCCTTTTTGTGCGCTTCGTCCTACCACCTAGCCGACTACTAGTACTCGTCTCTCTGGTGAAGAGTCCACCATGAGCAGAACAATCGTAGCAATTCGAACAGTGTCCAGGCGGATTAAAGACTTTGACCCATGGAGATACTTGCTAAGTTCGAAAACCCTCGTCTGCTGCAGGCTGAGGATCTAAGGGATGCAAACGTAGCGACGGAGCTGGCTCCAAAGTGGAAGCATACTGTCGCGGCAAATTATACTATAGTTATAGTAAGGACCCCCCCCCCCCCAAATAGTATTGGTAATTATTCAGGCTCCTATATTCATGCCGATTTCGGACTACGGAACTGCCAGCACTAGGGCATCAGGGCATCTCTTCGAGATTCGTCGCTTTGAAGAGCTTGAAGTTTTGGATGCATGGTGGGTAGTAGATATCCAACTTGCCTCTGGCTATGTTTGGCCTGAGGTGTCTCTCACAGAATCCACCCAGCGAGCCTTTTTACGGACCTACATGATCTCTCCTTGTCGGGACACTCTCTTCACCAGCTGATCGCAGTCCGAAACCCTAAACCCGTAAACCCAAAACCCTAAAATTTGCTCAGTGAAGTCGAGCCGATCTGCCTGTGGCTCTGTGGCTCCTTAGGCCTTGCAACACCACCGCTTTAAACTAGGGCCAAAATAGTTGCCGATACTATTTTTGGGGTTCCTCTAAAGGGTTCCTCAAAGGGTGCCGAAATAATTGCTGACACAATTTGGCGGCTTCGTTAGTATATTTACAGTATAATGGGCCCCAAAACTGTTCTGATTACTAGCTCCTATATTAATCCACAAATGAGTCTGCAAGGCTCAGGCTGGATCCACACCCAGGGCCGCCAGCTCAGTTGCGGTCCTCGCCGTATTGAGCTTCCTGGCGGGACTCATAGTGAGCTCTCCAGCACAGCTGTGATCCCACAACCCAATCCCATCAAGGAGGTTGCCGAGATCGAGACGAGAGTTCAGTTCTAAAGAGTCTAAAGTTTAACGCGGCATCATACCCACGATCGGGTGCTGCGCTTGATTTCATCATGCACAAGTTAACACGTTGATAGCAACATTTCCAAGCGAAGGCTGACACCTATAATGAAGACTTGGAATCATTGGCTTTCGCAAGCCACGTAGTGACGACAACGACGACTGGAACACAGCCAAAGGGAAAAATCGTCGGTGCTGTTGCTGTTCGTGGTGCTGGTGCTGTTCATGAAAATGATGGCGATGAAGGTGAACTGATGATGGTAGCATTGATGCTGTTGCTAAGGATGCTGATGATGATGATGATGATGATGGGAATTGCGACGACGATGATGGTGACATTGGTGAAGAAGAAGATGATGATGCTTGATCTTGAATGTCACTGTAGGGGTGGTCGTGATGCTGGTGATGCTAGCAGTGGTACTCATGATGGCGTAGTTGCATATCAGCATATCATACGTTGGTCAGCAGTAACGAAAGCTTCTATCACGAGCGTGTGGTCAAGATCATGTCAATGCTGGTGAAGCATGCCCGGTCAATCGCAGCATCTGGTGTAACAAGCTCATATTGTTGGCTCATGTTGGCTCTGACAGTGACGATGACGCTGTTGCGGTATGTATCATAGGTATGGTGCCGAAGACGCCATACAGATGCTGATGACTATGGTGATGATGACTATCACATTCTACTGATGATGACGATGATGGTGACGACGATCATGATGTTGATGATGATGACGGTATGATGACTGCGCTGTAATTGTCCAGCTTGACTGCCACTCTAACATGTACCATGCTCTGCTGCCTCAGCCTCGGCGCTGTCTTCGGGAGCGGTTTGACTCACTGTTGCTGTTGTGGATTGCGCCGATTCGTCGGATGCCATCTCTGCATCACTTGCCTCTGTGCTTGTTGTTATGCTTTCGCCGCCATTGCTTTTTGTGCTCTCTTCCGATTCTGCCGCATCAGCGGCCTGATAAGTGGCTCCCGTGGAACTGGATTCCGGGGCTGTGGTCGTAGCAGGCGCCACCTCTGCTTCTGGCGCTTCGTTGCCATACCCGAGCCCCTCTTCCTCTGATGTGTCGGTGCTCTTGCCGAAGGGGTCTTCCTTCACCTTATCCTCCTTGCCGAAGAGCGGCTCTTCTGACCGTTGTGGTGTTGTTGTGGTTTCCAGGCCTTCCGACATGCTATGCTGAACTTCCGTGGTGGTTTCCGCCATCTTTGTGGCTGCTTCCGACTGCTCCTCGGCTTCGGGCACTGCTCGAGTTGAAGCGGCTGGCTCGTTGGTGTGAGCCTCCTTCTCCTCCTCCAGCTTCCCCTGCAAACAGGCATGGACAGATCGTGTGAGCAGTTTTGCGGCTAAGCACCGGGCTACACATCTGACACCAACATGACGGCCCTCTACCGAACTTTCAGCTTCTTGTTACGAAAGTGCCTGGCCTCAGTCTTTCGTTCCAAGGCCTCGTTGCGACGCAGAAGGGCTTCGTGTACGCAGCACCGTCAATGCCCAGGAGGACAGCAAGTGACCACTTTACATTCATGACATACAAGCCCACGACTTCACAAATATAGTAGAACTTTGAAGCCTCCTGAAGCAAAGCACGATAGAACAAACAGCAGTTGCAGCTGATGCACGGCAACGATGAAAGGTGATGTTTATCTGTATACTGCAACCACCATCAGTCGACGGCAGCAACATCAATAATTCGGACAGCACTAGTACCAATAGAGTTCAATCGTAGCAACACGACGGACAAACAATTACGACCAAGAACCATCAACTCGATCCTAACGGCCAGTGTCCAAACATCACGGCAAGAATCACAGCAACAATCAGATGACTTTTTGATCAAGAACCATCAACTCGATCCTAACGGTCAGTGTCCAAAGATCACGGCAAGAATCACAGCAACAATCAGATGGCTTTTTTGATATAGGGGCCTTAATAATTAGAATAGGGTTTCAAGGCCCACTATACTTTAATCATAACAAGGAACCCCCAAACTAGTACAGGTACTCACTTAGGCCCCTAAGTTAGGGTCAATATCCTTCGACTGGGCAGCGGCACCTCTGCGGTCTTTTCGGCCTCCCTTAGCTTGGCAGCAGGCTTTCGAGCTTCAATGATGTTTGGCTTTCCCCAGCGACTGGATTGGGGTTTAGGGTTTAAGGTTCAGGGCTTGTGGTTTGGAGTTTAGGGTTTAAGGTTGAGGGTGTAGGGTTTAAGGTTTAGGGTTTGGGGTTTAGTGCTTAAGATTTAGGGTGTCGGGTTTGGGGGTTGCGAGCCAAAGGGCCTTGTGCGTGGGGCATTGTGGAAAGGTGGGTCTGGGTGTTGCGAACCTCAAAGCGTCAATGGCACACTATCTGTCTGGGTTGAGACTGTCCATCAGGTGGAGGCCTGCTTAGTACGAGGCAGGCAGCAATGCAAGGGACTGAGGTTTGGAACCATGTGCTCGCTGAACTGCGCAATGTTCCAGGAGGAACGGGGCGCATTTAAGCAACGTCGTTTCTCACCTCACAATTCTTGTTGTCGATGCAGCAGCAAAGACACGGAGAGCAATGATAGATGAATCGCGTCTGAGAACGTATCAAGCTGATTCGCTCATCATTTACGATACTCCCACTTGCCTCTCAAGACTGTCTGACGTAAACAGTCGTAATTAGCTTGATGCGAACATACATGCTGGATCGTGTTCTGTGCATGCCACGAAAACCACGTGGCTCACCATGGTACCAACTACTAGACGCTGCTGAAACAGGCAACAGTTAACCTGGCAACAATCGCGGCACTGCAGAGCATCGCACCGGTGGCGACTACATCGTGTGTTGGGCTATGGCTGGTATGTGGGTTGATCACCAACCCTATACGTCCCTACCTCTAGCAACCAATGTAACTCCAAAAAGGCATATGACGCCCCCCCCCCCTCCGTAATGTTACATTTACCTTTTTCAGATACCTTGAAGCCCCACGCACCGAACCCAAAACCCCAGAAACCACAACCCGGCTCATGAGAAGTCTGTGCTAAATTAGAGAGGGTCCTATTTAGGGTTTTAGGGTTTAAGGTCCTAGAACTCACGGAATCGGACAAGTTGCTGGGAATCCACGCTCCTTCGGAAGTCACCACCCAGAACCATCCAGAGCCCTCAACCCAAGCCGCAGGCGCTACACCCTTAATGCTGAACCCAGCAGGATGCTACAGTTTCGCAGCCTACAGCCTCAACTCTGAACCCTACACCCTAAGCCCTTCCGGGCCGCTTCGCTTCTTCACACCTTGTTGCTGAGACCGCTGCAAGGCTACGTTGCGGCTCTCCTGGGATGTGTGCATCAAGGAATGGGAGAGCGCACGGAACTGCCTGGAATTCATGCGCCCTCCTTAGAAGATCAAATGCTCATTATAGACCCCAGATAGAACGATCCCTATTCCGACCCTACCTAGGGTAGCCTGATCTTCGGAACCCCCCCCCCATCCCCCCCCCCCCCCCCGCCCAAAGACTGCTGCTTCGCAACAATGCCTCGAACTCACGAAATCCGGTTCGGAATAGTTGGGGTCCTTTAACAAGGGGGATCTGTCTATTTGGGGTGTATAGAGTGACCAGGCCCTCGTAATGCCTACCTAGAAGACGACACAGCTGTGTCATCAACATCCGCGAGGAAAAACACACACTTTGGAAGGAATCTCCTGAAGACTATCACCGGAGTCAAAGCCTCAGGCAACCACCAACCAGAAAGGTCCGGTCTGGTTGTCGGGTCGCAAACAGCATAATTAGCCCAAGGCCCTTAAGGCAGGAAAGCGTCCACCACATGTAGCTCTGCCACAGCTGCGAGCCGCTCAAGCTCACGGGCCTGCGGGCGGCTAGAAATCGGATTTGCGATACGCCATGATCATGATCATGGTCCATGGTAGTAGCAAGAACACAAAGCAGTACTGGTAGTACTGGCAGCAGTAGCAGCAGCAGTAGTAGTAGGAGGAGGAGGAGGCGTCGGAGTAGGAGCTGGAGTAGTGATAGGAGTAGGAGCAAGAGTAGAAGCAGGAGCAGGAGTAGGAGTAGAAGCAGGAGCAGGTGGAGGAGTAGGCGTAGGAGCAGCAGTAGTAGCAGTAGCGATAGCAGCAGCAGCAGCACCGGTAGCAGGAGCAGTCGTAGTATTATTTTTATTATTGTTATTATTATTATTAGTAGTAGTAGTAGTACTACCACTACCACTACCACTACCACTACCACTACCACTACCACTACCACTACCACTACCACTACCACTACCACTACCACTACTACTACCACTACCACTACCACTACCACTACGACTACTACTACTACTACTACTACTACTACTACTACTACTACTACTACTACTACTACTACTACTACTACTAGAACCCAAGTGGCAGCAGTAGCAGTCTAACCCCCTAAACCCTCTAGCAGGCCCCTCCTTCTTCACAGCATCTTGCTCCACTTCGCGGGCTTTGGCCACTGCAGCTTCGGCCTCTTCGGCCTCGGCTTTGAAGTGAGACTTCTTTCAGGGGTTCAGGTGGGGAGCTATAGGGGTACCTTTAAGGGGCTCCTTTAAGGGATCTATGGGGTGTAGGGTTTAGGGTTGATGATATAAATCCTGAATTACCAATCATTTTTCATAATAAGGAACTGGAACTTACCATAACTCCCATAGCCTACAGGGCCATCAAGGTAATGCAGGATTTATATCATCAACCGTATCACTTGGGTGTACAGGTTACTGTGTCGACATGGGCCCTGCGGGCCTCCGGGTTCTCCATGCAGAAGAAGCAACCCAAAGCCCTTCAAACCCAAGGCCCAAAATAAGAGTCCAACAAGTATAACCGTAACCCTTATCACCAAAGCCCTGCCTAGAGTAACCAGTAACCAATGTACTTCCTAGAAAGTGCGAGTGTCCCCACCCCCCCCTACAAATTGTACATATACCGTTCTACAGGTAACTTGCAATATTTTGGTACAGATAAATCCTAAGCCCTGACTGAACCCTACACGCGTTCTGAACTAAACCCTAAATCCCGAGCCTTTTACCCAAAAACATACCTACTCCAGTGCGTGTCCAGGAGGCAGTCTCCGGCTCCTCTAAGAGTAGACCCAGCCGCTCCTGGAAGAGAGACACACTGTTAGGGTTAGGGTTTAGGGTTAAAGGTTTACGGTTTGAAGGATCAAAGGAGTTGCAAGGTATGTAAGAAGTGGAGTCGCAAGTACCGCAACCGGGGTTATCTTGGTGGTAAACACGACGTTTAAGTACTTGCGAAGTCCCATGAACCTCCTCGTGCGGGGTTGACACTAACCACATCATATCTTGGGGTTTAGTGGTAATCTGGAGCTCATGGAGGTTTTACAGCGTCAGTATCAGGGTTTAAGAGCTAGGGTTAAGGGTAAGGGTGCTCGAATACACCAGCCTGGCCCAGCCTCAGTCGGTGAGCAAGGATTTGCCAGGTTTCCCTAGACCCTAAACCAAATTCTTTGGGTGATGCCGCTTGAGCAGCTAGCTGTCGCTCCTGCCACACTTTTGAAGCCGAGAATACCCCAAATAGCAAGCATGCAAAGGCTGCAGAAAAAAAACAGAAAGCACGGTCGGCGGCTCAAAGGGTCATTGTAACCAGATGCTACGGCTACTTTCGTATTGGACGCCCGTTCATGTATTCCGTCCTCGGCGTCTCTCAGCGCCACTGCCGGCAGTATAACCTGCACATGCCGGATCAGTTCAAAGGTCTTCCCCATATCATCAAGGTGTATATACTTAGATCCCCAAAATGCCCTTTAAGTATATACGAGAATGATACTTGGACCCTTTGGGTGCGGGCTCAACGTGCACAGTTTACAGGAGCAGCGCTAGAGAACTTGGGAGGCGGTTTTGTTTGGAGATACCAGCCTGATATTGAAGATACTGGTGTTGGTACAGTTCTGATAAACTTTGAGACCACCTTCTCTGTCTACCCAAATCCCCGTGATTCTGTTGATGGACAAAATCCTGCATAACCTTAAGGACCCTAAACTATGGGAATTATGGTATATTCCTTATATTGGGTCATGCAGGATATGGTCCATCCACAGTTACTCTTCGTGCCGGATGTCACTCGAAGTATCAAGCGCTTGTTGCATCCCCGCGCTGATCAATTTCGGAATGGCGGCCTGGTACACAGCCAGCTTAACAAGCCCAGCACACTTCACCACATATTGGTCAGTTTCCCCTACACACATGCTGATGATAGACGGTTCCGACAGAAATCGGCAAGCTAGCGAAGAATCCTACAGACAGCAAAACTAATCCATTCCTTGCACTGTCGGCTTGAGGGCCGTGCAAAGGCAAGACATCGCCAGGCTTGCATTACCTCAAGCGATCGCACTGCTTGCTGCGAATCTTGGATTTGTGCCATGTCAAGTAAGCTGGCAGTGCGACTATACTGCCGACATTCACACAAATGATCCTACATAGTTTAATCTGCCTCGCCTAGCACTTGTTGACAGCCCGGGCATGCATAGTTGCAGAAGAACCTCTGGCGACCACTCCTGCCTGTTGGTTTCAGAAGACGGCTAATGTAGAGGCTTTATTAATTAGAATAGTGTTTTGGGGCCCATTATACTATAAGTATAAGAAGGAACCCCGACAATACTATATGTAGTTATTACGACCCCTATATTACTAAACCTGCCCCATGGTCTGTAGTCTTGTAAGCTCAGCATTTCATCACCTTTGTTCCGAAAGAACACTACTTAACATGGCTGGAGCTGTGCATGCGACAGAAAGCAATACTGCCCATTCGTTCCCAAGTAGTGCGAGCCTCTCCAAAGGTAGCTATGGCAGAATTGCCACGATGATTGCAAGCGAGTAGTAAGGCTGCCAGTCGTGGCCATTTCTGGCTACCAGAGCAATAGGTCGACGACGACAAGGACAACGGCCACAACTATGACTGGCACGATACACCAGGCTCGGCTTCTTCTACCACGATGGTAGTAGCAACAGCAAAGTCAAGAACGACGGATGATCGTGTCAGACCCTCCAAACACAAGCAGCTGCAACTGTCTCGCAACTTCGACTGGGTTTCCATGCGGCAAGCAGGAACAAATCAACACAAGACGGCTATCTGTTTGACCATATATATATATATATATATACATCTAGGTCTATGACATACAGTTATACTTGCGTATATATATATATATAGATAGTCTTATTATTACAATATATATATATATGTATATATATATATATATATATATGTATGTATATATATATATATGTAGACACACACGTGAAAACTCATTTAGCGCGGCATGATCAAAACCCTTCCAACCACAGGCAGCGCTCATCTCAGCCCCAGGCATACAAGTTGCAGCGAGTGAAACACGGACACACAGAATTTCACAAAGTTCGGCAGGATTTGTACATGGAGTACTGACGCTGTGGCCCCATGCTTGAGCATAAGAGCGCCGCGCAACATGAACAAGGGGCTAGCTAGCACAGGTCTGCATGCCAGACAGACATATACGATGTGTTTTCTCGTACTTATTAGTTTCAGGCGTGCACGTCCACTTAAATATGCTCACACTTACATACCTGATTCACATGGGGGGTTATCTGTGCTTGCGTACAATTTTAAATTGCAAACATAGCTATATATGTGGGCATGGCCGTAATCCTACATGTACATATACGTTACCGAGTTACGTTCACATCCATACGTGCAAATGGACATATATGCGTACATGAATACATACATCATACACATACACACATAGTCACCCCAAACTCCTGTGATCAATGTGCAGGCGGGTGGAAAGCTCCAGATGTTTAGTCCCACATAGCCCAGTACAGCACTGAATCCCAACAGCATTCGCTCGAAGCTAACGGAAGGAAGCTGCTGCAGTGCTGCACGGCAGAGTGGCCCCGGGAAATCGTAGGATCAACGGTCTCCATGTGACGTGTTGGCAGAATGGCCAGTCTTCTAGATGCAGTCGGTCAATACAAGTGCTAGGATACAGCAATGAATGCAAGAACAGCTGCAAATAAGCCCAAAACCCAGCAGTTAGCCTGAATTATGAAATAGTTAGCAGCCCGTGGTAGGCAAAATAATACAAGTAACAGAAGCGCTAGTAACAGAAGTTGCGAGGCTTATCTACCTGGGTTGTGCATTAAACCCTTTGAAAATTATTCATGAATAGGTTCTTTCTAGAAGGAAATAAGGGGAAATTAAGAAGTATCCCAAAGCACAACCCAGCTACTAGAGAGGAACCAGTTATCAGCTCTGGAAACTGGCCCGGCAGTTGCCTGCCGCACATTTCGCAGCACTTACTGTGAGCATAACACTTAAAGGGCATCAATAATCGGACTAGGGTTTAGGGATATAGTCGGTCTAGGGTTTATGGATTTATGAAGCTGTAGGCTATATTTTCAATTTCTTTCGTAGAAAGAGCTGACAACTAATGAAGAAAGAAGACTTGCCATACAGTGAAACACGTGAAGAGGTTTTTCAGGACTCTTGCGGTGACAAGATGGCAAGAGCTGTGGGAAAGCCTGAAGACAGCAAAGGAACCATCGCGTCTTTTAACCTGCGCCGTCATCGGGAATCAGTTGTATGCAGCTCCCTCAAGCCTGACAGTGACACGTCCAATTTATGGCCACTTGGGAAGCATCTTGTTGTTGTAGCAAGGCTTTGGTGTCTTCGCTCGCTCGTCTTGCGGAATTTAGTTATCCTACGGACAGAATGTGGCAATAGCAGGACGTGTGGATAACACCTGCAGCTGTGAAGCACGAGTTCCTGGGGAGTTAGCAGTCAATAATATCGGGGTCTGCCCTAAACCCTAAATCCTGCATGCGTGACCAGATCAGTGTGATTTACCGCCTGCACAGAGGAGTCTCCCTCTTCCGATCTCTTTGTGAAAAGTTTGCCCTTCGCGAGTCTGTTGAGCTACTAAAGGCGCCCTCAAACGCAGATGAAAGGTCTGTTTTCACATATAGGAGTCTCCGAAAATAGGGGGTACCTCATTTTGGGGTCCTTACAATAAGGATCCTACTATTTAGGGTACCATATTAGGGTCCCCTATTTTCGGAAACTCCCATATTTCACCCAAACAGAAACCTGTCCACCTTGCAGAGCTTGTTCTTGCGGGCGACAGCGCTCGCCCGTTCCGTGGGATGCCGGTCACAATGGTCTGGCCGGCAGTGCTAGGCTGAACATAAGGCGGGTGTGGCTTCGTCCGCCTCTAGAAGGGCGGGGCAGCGTGAGTGCTAGACTAGTATAGACTAGTCAAGTATAGTATCTATAGGTTTTTGAGTATAGCCCCTTTATACTAAGCGCACCCTTTTCCTACCATTCGGTCACTATGCTAGTATAGCCCTAAGGCTCCAATTACCAAAATAGTAGGTTACTATTATATACCCTAAACCCTAAACCCTATAGACTAGTATAGCCCAAAGGATCCAAGTATCATCATGGTATATACTTAGACCTCAAGAATGCCCTATAAGCATATACCAGAATGATACTTGGGCCCTTTGGGTAGTATAAACCCTAAACCTCTCTTTCATATGTATATTTAAATGTTAATGGCCTTAGCGGTTTTGGTCCCCGTTGGTACCCTGGGCAGCCCCCTGCGGGACCAAAATTGCTAATTTTGCAGACCTTTCCGGCCTGAGGTCTGCAAAATTAGCGGTTTTGGTCCTCTGGGCCAGGGTGACCGCAGCCTCAGTTGTCTAAGTAAGGTCTGCAAAATTAGTGCCGAATTAGCGATTTTGGTTGCGAGGGGCGGGGAGCTTAGGACCGCCTGCGCAACGAAAATTTACGATTCTTGTTGGGATGTGGCTTGCGCAACGAGTTTTAGAGTATAGTATAGTGGCTTCTAGGGTTTAGGGCATATTTGGTTGGCCTTTAGGGTGTAGGGAGAAATTGCACATTTTCCTAATGTTTTGGGATTCTTTGGGCGGGTGGGTTTTTTGCTACTACACTGCTGGCCTAGTGATTTCTTAGCCCATCTAATCGTAAACCCTAAACCTTAAACCCTCAACCCTAAACCTTAAACCCTAAACCCTATAGACTAGTATAGTATAATCCTAAGCCGGGCCTCCTTCGGCCCAGCAGCTGCCTGCAGCCTGCCAGTGGTAGGAGACCTGGATGGGACGCGTGCGCTCGTTGAGGGCCTATAGGGCTTAGGGCTTATAGGGTTTATCGGGTTAAAAGGGTTTAGAGGGTTTAAACCCGGATTTAAACGGTTTATAGGGTTTATAGGGTGTATAGGGTTTAGGCTTTTAGGGTTTAGGGTTTCTTCGTTGTGTCCACAGCCAAAGATGTTGCTTGTTGCATCCCTGGCCTGTAAGACAACTGTCGGAACACCCACCACCACCACCACCACCACCACCACCACCACCACCACCACCACCACCACCACCACCACCACCACCACCACCACCACCACCACCACCACCACCACTATTATTATTACCACCACCACCACCTATGAGGTCACAGTCGCGATCATGATGACTGTGTCGATGACAAGAGATACATGTCTCGATGTGAGCGAAGCTTTTTGTACTAATGTTCGTCTGCGTGAAGTCGGTGAGTTATGCACTACCCAGCAAGTGCATGATTCCAATTATCGTCACATATGCCGTGTTCATGAGTCGTACGTATTTTGACACGAGAACGCTGTTGCCAAGAAGCAATACTACCCCTACAAACGGCTACATACGCAGAAAGCCCCTACTCCTTAACTACAGAAATGCCTCAAATTTGAGGGGCCTTACTTAATATCATGTTTCAAGGAATTCTCCTTAAGTAAGAGGTTTTGGGCTCTCTTGGTACATCATTACCTAAACACAGGCATAGACATGAGGACGAACCGAACGACAAACACATAAATCATCAACAATACGTACGTGCCAAAACAAACCCGCCACAAACGCCGTGCCATAACCCTTAACCGTTCAAGTAGGAAGCCTATGGCCCGAGGGCATGCCTGAGCAACCAACAAAACATACCAAAAAAGGTCAATGCTATGCGCTGATGGGGATTCCCGTTTCATGCATTGACTCCACAGTTGCTCGTAATACCTGCCAGAGTTTGCCATGAACGCTGCAGACTAGCGACCATGAAATCCCAGAAACCCCTACGACCCTCAAGCTCCTTCCTATTTTCAGGAGGGGGCCCGAGCGAGGAAGTCTTGTATGGCACCAGCGGAAACAGAAGATATAGAATATGGGTTTCAGATGCCGTTGCATGCTAAGTAACAATGCCTCAAGCCCGAAATTCTTCACATCCGAAGCCCTGCGAAGGCAAAGGGACAAATAACTCCGAACGATCTTGTGCTTCATCATTCTACAGCAATGCCACTCGGCCTCACAGCCCGGAACGCAAGAAGTTACAAGCAGCGATCGCTGCATTGAAACTGATCTCGTTCGGATGCGTCTGGCTGAGGACATGCAGCGCAGCCTTCCACTGTCCTGCCTCCTCACAGGCGCTGATAGCGGTGTTCAAGCTGATGATGCTGAGCTCTGCCCCAGCTGTAGAAACCTCCGACAGCATCTGAAGTGCTCGCGTCCATTCTGAAGCCCTGCCTTCGGCATGCATTTCAGCGCTGAAGATGATCTCCGAAGCGAGGACCCGTGCCAAGCGCATACGTCTCAAAGGCCACAAGGCCAGCTTCCACTTGCGCGGTGATGCGCAGGCACTGATGGCAGCGCTGAAGGCGACTATGTTGGGCTCGGCTCCAGAGATGGAAACCTCGGAGAGGAGCTGCCAAGCAAGAAGCCAGGCACCCCCCTTGCCCAGCGCACTGATTGTAGCACAGAAGCACACCATGTCGGAGCTGAACCTTAAGGACTGGGTCATAGTTTATGGAAAGAATGTATCAATAGGTACGAAACATAAAGGGGAAATTCAAAAGTTTCGCAAACCTCCCCCTAAACCCTAAACCCGAATTAAGTTTACCAAATTCCCACCTCGAGGACGACTTCGAAAGCAGAGCACCTGCTCCTTGCCATCTCGAGCACTTCTCAGAGGCACTCATGGCGGCGCTGTAGCTGATAACCTGGGTTGCTGCTATAAGGAACTTAAACTCAGCTACTATAATCATTATTAAGGCAACCCTGTTACTTACTGGATAATTATCCCGGTTGCTGCTAACTATAAGGAACTTAAACAAAGTTACTACAATCAGGAAACCCTTTTCTTCTTTTTCTTGATATTACTATTAGTATTACTATTACTATTATTATTACTATTGTTATTATTATTATTATCATTATTATTATTACTATTATTATTACTATTATTATTAATATTATTTATTATTGATATTATTATTATTATTATTATTATTATTATTATTATTATTATTATTTTTATTAATATTATTATTATTGTTATTATTATTGTTATTATTATTATTACTACTATTATTATTATTATTGTTATTATTATTATTATTATTATTATTGTTTTTGTTGTTGTTGTTGTTGTTATTCTTATTATTTATCCCGATTTATCCCTACTTTGGTAGCATAATCTAAGTTCCTTAACAGCAACCCAGTAACATCTGCCTCTAGGGCCAAAGCCGGCATGTTGCAAAGCAAGGAGATCGCGACGCTCCACTCGCCGCTGGCGTCACAGGCAGAGATGGCTGCATTGAGACAAACCTAGTTCATGGTTGGGATTGGGATAGGGTTAACAATTGACATTTTTGTTCCTTACTGGGAAAAAGAACCCTTAAACATGTTAAATGTTTCCCAACTATGACAAAGAAGCTGTGTTGGGACGTGTGGACGCACCGGGCATGCTGCCAAGAAGTTGGAGCACCGTCTGCCAGCCACTGCCCTTGGAATAAGCGCTTATCGCCGCGCCGAAGCAGACTTCGTTGAGCTTGCCCATGGACCGAAGATACTCAGTAAATAGCGAGACGGCCCGCTGCCACTGCTCGCCCCTTTCACACCAAGCCATGACCGCCGTCAAGCAGGCAACATCAGCTCCCTGCATGCCTTGCGCTGACTTCGACAGCAGCCGCAAGGCAAGTTTCCACTGAAGCTCTGGGCCTTCCAGAGCAGCCGCAGATACGATGACGTTTAGCATGCTGGCCGTGAGGGGTATCTCGGCCCGCCCCATGTACACGAGTAACTTGCAGGAGTTTCGCCAGAGTCCTCTGTCGGCATACGCAAGCATGCTGGAATAGAAGCTCGTGCTGTCAGGGGTCATCCGTGCTACCTGCATCCTGGGCAGTTGCTCAAGGACCCGTTGCCACTGTCTGTGCATGCTCAAAGATCTCGAAACAGCATTGAAACTGAGAGCATTCGGCAGTATGTCAGCACGTGCCATTGGTGGCAGCAGGCAGACTGCTCCTTCCCAAGTTCCACGTTGCTCACAGGCAAATGCGGAAATCACCGACGTGCAGCTCACAACATCTGGCCGAAGCGTTCTTGCAGGCATGGCACCCAACAAATGTAGTGCATGCTGCCAGTGCTCGGACTTTTGACATGCACTACTCGCAGCATTGTCGCTGATGATGTCCGGCGCTACGTCTCTGGCCCACATACCTGAAAGCAGCCTCATCGCGACCGACCAGAGGCTTGCAAATCCGGCCGTAGAGATGGCCGTGTTGAACGAAATTGAATCTGGAAGAAGCTTAAGCTCAGTCATCCGGGAAAGCAAGCGGAGCACTTTGTGCCAGCGTCGAGCAGCTCCACACGTATTCATACATGCATTCATGGTGATCTTCGTGGGCCGCAGACTGGTCCTTTGCATGTCAGATATTAACTTGACGGAGCGCTGCCACTGCGAAGCCTCACAAGAGCTGATGACTGTGTTGGTGCAAACTGCATTGGGCATCAAGCTGCATGATGGCATGTCAAAGAGCCTCAGCAAGGCCCGCGGCCAGGACCGTTCCGACCTGATGGCAGCCCCAAAAGTGACCTCATTGGGCCGTGCTTGTAGTTTCTGCATCGTGCTGCAAAGCTTCAGCGCCACTGGCCACTGCCAGGCTCTGGCCACGGTGCTGACGGAGGAAGAGAGCGTGATGACACTCGGCTCCTGTGTCGAGCATTGCGAATTGTACAGGATCTGCAGACAATTTCGCCAAGAGTCGAAGCTGGGCTTAGGACTGGGACCGAAGGCAGTGGAACGAGAGCACATGTTCCACCAGCGTGTTGCCTGCGACTGTGCCTGCCGTCATCCGAGACATGCCACCATCTCCGTAGGTGCAGAGATGCCAGGGACACGTCAGAGCATCGTCACTTTTGTGCATTTTCTGGGGCAGGTTAAAATTTCCGAACATAGGCGACCCCAATATTGTACCCTAAATAGTAGGATCCTTATTCTAAGGACCCCAAAATAAGGGACCCCTAAGTTTCGGAACGTCCCAGGTGGCTCAGGCGCTGAGCCACTGCACACGCGCCAACACCTCCGAGCGGCTCATCCATGGCAGCTAGACCATCTACTAAGAAGACTCCTTCAAAGAGCGAGCTGCAAGTGCAAGACCTCCATGTCGAGGTGGCAGTAGTAGTAGTAGTAGTAGTAGTAGTAGTAGTAGTAGTAGTAGTAGTAGTAGTAGTAGTAGTAGTAGTAGTAGGTGTAGGAGTAGGAGTAGGAGTAGGAGTAGGAGTAGTAGTAGTAGTAGTAGGAGTAGCAGTAGCAGTAGCGGTAGCAGTAGCAGTAGCAGTAGCAGTAGCAGTATAAGTAGGAGTAGGAGTAGTAGTAGTAGTAGTAGTAGTAGTAGTAGTAGGAGTAGTAGTAGTAGTAGTAGTAGTAGTAGTAGTAGTAGTAGTAGTAGTAGTAGGTAGTAGTAGTAGTAGTAGTAGTAGTAGTAGTAGTAGTAGTAGTAGTAGTAGTAGTAGTAGTAGTAGTAGTAGTAGTAGTAGTAGTAGTAGTAGTAGTAGTAGTAGTAGTAGTAGTAGTAGTAGTAGTAGTAGTAGTAGTAGTAGTAGTAGTAGTAGTAGTAGTAGTAGTAGTAGTAGTAGTAGTAGTAGTAGTAGTAGTAGTAGTAGTAGTAGTAGTAGTAGTAGTAGTAGCAGCAGTAGCAGTAGTAGTAGCAGTAGCAGTAGTAGTAGTAGTAGTAGTAGTAGTAGTAGTAGTAGTAGTAGTAGTAGTAGTAGTAGTAGTAGTAGTAGTAGTCCACCAGGGA